GCCACCAAAACACACCATAGAGACTCAAAGGGAACCTCTTGGCCACCAGAGAACATTGCTGGCCACCGTTGGCCTTCTTGGGGTCTGGGAATGGACACTATTGACTGACAGCCAACCTCTTGGCCACCTTTGGCCTACTTGGCCATCAAAACTCAAAATAGAGACTCACAGGGGACCTCTTGGCCACTGTTCGCCTTTTTGGCCTCCAAAACACACAATAGAGACTCACAGTGAAACTCCTGGCCACCAGGGGCCATCAAAACACACCATAGAGACTCACAGGGAACCTCTTGGCCACCTGGGTTCACTGTTGGCCACCGCTGGCTTTCTTAGGGACTAGGAAGGGACACTACTGACTCACAGCCAACCTCTTGGACACCGTTGGCCTTCTTGGCCACCTTGGTTCACCGCTGGCCACTGTTGGCCTTCATGGGGACTGAGAAGGGACACTACTGACTGACAGCCAACCTCTTGGCCACCGTTGGTCTTTTTTGCCACCAAAACACACCATAGAGATTCACAGGGAACCTCTTGGCCACGGTTGGTCTTCTTGGCCACCTGGGCACACTGTTGGCCACCATTGGGCTTCCTGGGGTCTCACAGCCAACCTCTTGGGCACCGTTGGCCTTCTTGGCCACCAAAACACAAAATAGAGACTCACAGGGAACCTCTTGGCCACCTGGGTTCACTCTTGGCCACCACTGGGGTTCTTGAGGACTTGGAAGAGACACTACTGACTGACAGCCAACCTCTTGGCCACCAAAACACACCATAGAGACTTGCAGGGAACCTCTTGGCCACTTGGGTTCACTGTTGGCCACTGTTGGCCTTCCTGGGGCCTGGGAAGGGACACTACTGACTGACAGCCAACCTCTTGGCCACTGTTGGTCTTCTCGGCCACCAAAACACACAGTAGAGATTCACAGGGAACCTCTTGGTCACCATTGGCTTTTTTGGCCACCTGGGCACATTGTTGGCCACCACTGGGCTTCTTGGGGATTCACAGCCAACCTGTTGGCCACCACTGGCATTCTTGGCCACCTGGGCACATTGTTGGCCACCACTGGGCTTCTTGGCCACCAAAACACACTATAGAGACTCACAGGGAACCTCTTGGCCAATATTGGACTTCTTGGCCACCAGGGAACACTGTTGGCCACCGTTGGCCTTCTTAGAGAGTGAGAAGGGACACTACTGACTCACAAACACTTGGCCACTGCCAGCCATCTTGGCCACCAAAACCATAGAGACTCAGAGGGAACCTCTTGGCCATCAGGGAACACTGTTGGCCATCGTTGGCCTTCTTGGGGCCTGGGAAGGGACACTACTGACTGACAGCCAACCTCTTGGCCACGGTTGGCCTTCTTGACCACCTGGGCACATTGTTGGCCACCATTGGGCTTCTTGGGGACTCACAGCCAACCTGTCAGGCACCACTGGCCTTCTTGGCCACCAAAACACACCATAGAGACTCACAGTGAAACTCCTGGCCACTACTGGCCACCAAAACACACCATAGAGACTCACGGGGAACCTCTTGGCCAGTATTGGACTTCTTGGCCACCAGCGAACACTGTTGGCCACCATTGGTCTTCTTGGGGTCTGGGAAGGGACTCTACTGACTGACAGCCAACCTCTTGGCCACCATTGGTCTTTTTTGGCACCAAAACACACCATAGAGACTCACAGGGAACCTCTTGGCCACCTGGGTTCACTCTTGGCCACTGTTGGCCTCCTGGAGGACTGGGAATGGACTCTACTGACTGACAGCCAACCTCTTGGCCACCGTTGGCCTTCTTGGCCACCTGGGCACATTGTTGGCCACCATTGGGCTTCTTGGGGTCTCACAGCCAACCTGTCGGCCACCACTGGCCTTCTTGGCCACCAAAACACACCATAGAGACTCACAGTGAAACTCCTGGCCACTACTGGCCACCAAAACACACCATAGAGACTCACAGGGAACCTCTTGGCCAATATTGGACTTCTTGGCCACCAGGGAACACAGTTGGCCACCGTTGGTCTTCTTAGAGAGTGAGAAGGGACAATACTGACTGACAGCAAACCTCTTGGCCACCGTTGGCCTTCTTGACCACCTGGGCACATTGTTGGTCACCATTGGGCTTCTGGGGGACTCACAGCCAACCTCTTGGCCATCACTGGCCTTCTTGGGCACCAAAACACACCACAGAGACTTGCAGGGAACCTCTTGGCCACCAGGGAGCACTGTTGGCCACAGTTAGCCTTCATGGGGACTGAGAAGGGACACTACTGACCGACAGCAAACCTCTTGGCCACCGTTGGCCTTCTTGGCCACCAAAACACTCAATAGAGATTCACAGGGAACCTCTTGGACACCATTGGCCTTCTGGGCCACCTGGACACATTGTTGGCCACCACTGGGCTTCTTGAGGACTCACAGCCAACCTGTTGGCCACCACTGGCCTTCTTGGCCACCAAAACACACCATAGAGACTCACAGAGAGCCTCTTGGCCACCTTGGTTCACTGTTGGCCACTGTTGGCCTTCATAGGGACTGAGAAGGGACACTACTGACTGACAGCCAACCTCTTGGCTATTGGTGGCCTTCTTGACCACCTGGGCACATTATTGGCCACCGTTGGCCTTCTTGGGGTCTGGGAAGGGACACTTCTGACTGACAGCAAACCTCTGGGCCACCATTGGTCCTTTTTTGGCACCAAAACACACCATAGAGACTCACAAGGAACCTCTTGGCCACGGTTGGCCTTCTTGACCACCTGGGCACATTGTTGGCCACCATTGGGCTTCTTGGGGACTCACAGCCAACCTCTTGGCCACCGTTGGCCTTCTTAGCCATCAAAACACTTAATAGAGACTCACAGGGAACCTCTTGGCCACCACTGGCCTTCCCGGCCACCAGGGCGCTCCGCTGTTGCTCCAGGCCTGCTCCGTACCTGGCGTGGCGCTGGTGAGCAGCTCGTCCTGCAGACAGGTGCGGAGCAGCGCGGCGACGCGGGCCGTGTCCTCCCGACGCGTGCAGTACACGATGATGGAGCGGAGCGCGGCGTAGCGCTCGCTGCGCAGCAGGTCAACGAGAGCCTGCGGGGTAACGAGGGCACCGAGGTTAGGAGCTGATTAAAAAACACAGCCCAAGTAGCCTGGGCTCTGAGCACGGAGCCCCGGCGTTGATCCGCGCGCTCTGGGGGTCTCCGCGTGGGATCCGATGGCACGAAGATGGGGCTGTGCCTTCCCAGCACACCAGAGTGGGATTTTGGAGGGGAGGTTTGTAGGATCCGCTGTAGGATCAGCCCCAATTCTCACCCCTAATCACTGCTGTCCCCCTCTCTACCCGATCCCTACACCAGAACCCAGAGATGTCACCATCCCCACTGGTCCCCATCCTTCCCCGGTCCCTGTGCCAATCCCAGCTGCAACTCCATCCCTTCCCAATGGCCATTCCTGGTGCTCAGATCCATCCTTGTCCCTTCCTGGTCCCCACATCCATCCCCATCGCAACCCAGTCGCCATCCCATCCTCACTCAGTCCACATCCCATCCTGACCCCAATCCCCACCCCCACCAATCCCCATTCCTCTCCACACTCTGTCCCCGTCCCTCCCTGGTCTCTGTTCTCCCCTGGTCCCCCCCACATCCCAGTGTCTGTGTGTCCCTGTCCACACTCCATTCCTCTCCCTATCCAGTCCCATCCACACTCCATCCCTGTCCCAGTCCCACCCCGGTCCCAATCCCATCCTTGTCCCCATCCACAGCCTGTCCCCAGTCCCTACTCCATCCCTGTTCCAGTTCACACCCCGTCCCATCCCTACCCCTCCCCAATCCCTACCCCGTTCCCAGTCCACACCCCGTCCCTGTCCCCATAGATCCACATGCCTTCCCTGTCCCCATCCCATCCCCGTTCCCATCCCTAACCAGTCCCCATCCCATCCCTACCTGGTCTCTCTTCCCATCCGCACCCCATCTCTGTCCCTACTCCCACCTGGTCCCCGCCTGCACCCCATCCCCATCCTGTCCCTACCTGGTCCCCATTCCTATCCCAGCCCATCCCTATCTGGTCCCCATCCCCATTCCCATCCCCATCATCCCCATCATCCCCATTCTCCATCCCAGTCCCCACTCACTCCCCATCCCTGTCCCATCCACACCCAGTCTCCCTCCCCACTCCCATCCTGTCCCCACCTGCTCCCTGTCTCCATCTCGGTCCCATCCTGTTTTCCATCCCCATCCCATCTCCATCTGGTCCCCATCCCAGGGGGGGGTTGGACTCGATGATTTCCAGCGGTCCCTTCCAACCCCTACGATTCTGTGATCCCATTCTGTCCCTAGCCATCCCCCATCCCATCCCCACCCATTCCCCCATCCCCTACCTGTTCTCCACCCCCATCCCCACCCTGACCCATTCCCCATCCCCACCCTATCTCTATCCGTTCCCCATCTCCACCCCATCCCTACCCCATATTCCCACCCCACCCCTACTCTTCCCCTACCCAATCCCCACCCGTTCCCCATCCCCATTCTCTACCCCATACTCACCCATTCCCCATCCCCATCCCCACCCCATCTCCCATTCCTACCTATTTTCCACCCCCATTCCCCCATCCCCACCTGTTTGCCATTCCCCATCCCGTCCCCACCCCATCCCTACCCATTTTCCACCCCCATCCCCTACCCCATACTCACCCATTCCCCATCCCCATCCCATCCCTACTTCATCCCCACCCCCACCCTATCCCCATCTCCATCCCCACCCCATCCCTACTCCATCCCCATCCCTACCTGTTCCCC